ACATGCTCTTGGAATGAATATAAATGAAAAAAATTAACCCTGTTGTTTATATTCTTAATCCTATCTATCTTTCCTTCTGAAATTCGTAATCTACAATTAAATACTAGTGTTTCCTTAACTTAAAAACTATAGTGAGTTAAAAGCTAGGTGAAGCTTGCAGCCTGGTAGTTTCTACCTACCCACCTGGCAAGTTATATTTGAGGAACAAATGAACATTCCTCTTGGTCCTTAATCCTAACTGGCTGCAAATGACCTACATATACCACAAAGCTTTGACCACTTGACCTGTGATTTTGGTGTCAAATGAAAGGATGTCACGGGACAAATATAGTAGTATTTTTCCCTATTTCTCCAAAGTATAGACATTATGTATAAAACTGCATAAGATGGTTCTGAAAGGTGGAGAGAGTACAGATTGGTCCTTCTTCAGGACCTGAAGAACAACACAGCACCAAGTCCCTTGGGTCTTTTTTTTTTTTTCTCCATCTATCCCAGACCAGATTCTGATGAGGCTGGCAACTGAGAAACGTCAATGGGCACAGGCCAAAAAAAGGCCCAAGGAAAGTCTTCTTTCTAGACAAAGGATGAGGAAAGAAGGGGCCTAGTAAGACAGACAATTTTTAGACAATCCCCATCCTACTCCAGCAAACACCAAAGACCAACTTGGGAGCCTACACTTCTACCCTCACCAGTCAGTCATGAGGCTCCCCAATGCTCCGCCCCCACGCCACACTGGACAGAGTTTTCAAAACCAACCCCTTCCCATTCCACCCTGGCAGTGTCACAGACCACGTGGGGAGAGTAGGCCTACAATTCCACCCAGAGACCAGATATTTCTTCCCTTCCTTACTGGTTTGGTGTCAGTAGAGGCCTAGTGGGGAGTTGTAACTCTGACCCCTACCCAGCAGTCGTGAGGACCCCATCCAGGTGTTAGTAAATGCCAATGTTGAACCTACATTTCCAACACCAATTTATAGTAATAAGACGGTCTCCCCTCAGCCCTTTCTCCACCAGAGCAGTGTCAGAGGAAGCCTGTCCAAACAGAAGCTTTGAGCAGGATACAGAGTCTCATAACATAACACTCAAAATGTCCAGTTTTCAACTGAAAATCGCCATCACACACAGAACCACGAAAATCTGAACTTGCATGTGAAGACTGCCACAGACACCCATGCTGAAATGACACAGATGCTAGAATTACCTGATAAAGATTTTAAAACAGCCATCATAAAATGCCTCAATGATCAATTACTAACACGCTTGACACTAATTTTAAAAAGTCTCGGGGCGCCTGGGTGGCTTAGTCGGTTAAGTGTCCGACTTTCGCTTAGGTCATGGTCTTGCGGTTCGTGGGTTCGAGCCCCGCGTCGGGCTCTGTGCTGACTGCCGGCTCAGAGCCTGGAGCCTGTTTCAATCTGTGACTCCCTCTCTCTCTGACCCTCCCCTGCTCATGCTGTCTCTGTCTCTTTCTCCTAGAAATAAATAAAACATTAAAAAAAAATTTTTTTTTTAAAAAGTCTCAGTAAAAACAACAACAAACAAACAACCCCCCCCCCACCGAATAGAGAATCAAATGGAACTGAAAAACATAACTGAAATAAAACCCAGTGATGGACTCAACATCAGAATGCAAGGGGCAGAGAAAGAATAAGCCAAGTTGAGGATAGAACAATATAAAATACCCAACCCGAACAACAGAGAGAAAATTACTATGGGCTGAGTTGTATATCAACCACTCCAAATCCACCACCAATTCATGTTGAAGCCCTAACCCCTGATGTGACTGTATTTAGAGAAAGGGCTTTTAGAAAGTAACTGAGATTAAATGAGGTCATAAGTATGGGGTCTTAAGCTGATAGGATTGGTAGCCTTGTAAGAACAGAGAGAGAATTCTTTCCACACCACATGCATGGACTGAGGAAAGGCTGTGAGGACATAGCAAGAAGGAGGCCATCTACAGGCGAGGAAGAGAACCCTCTTACCAGAAACCAAATCAGCTGAGGCATTGATCTCGGTCTTCCTGGCCTCTAAAACTGTGAGAAATAAATTTCTGTTGTGTGAGCCCCCCTATGGTATTTTGTTATGGGACCGCCAAACAGATTTGGGTACCCAGGAGAGGGGTGCTGCTCTAACCTTAAAATGTGGATGTATCTTTGGAACTGGGTAACAGGTAGAGTCTTGCAGTTTTGAGGTACATACTACCTCAAATGGTAGTATGTAATGGATATAAATGGATGTTAAAAGCCATTCTGATAAGATCTCAGACAGAAATGAGGATGACATTATTGGAAACTGGAAGGAAGGCAATCCTTGTTACACAGTGGCAAACAGTGTTTTAGTGTTTTGTGGAAGGTAGAGCTTGTGACTCTACAGATTTCAACACAGATTTCCAAGCAAAGTATTGAATGTGCAGCCTGGGTCCTCCCTCCTGCTTATCACAAAATATGAGAGGAGAGAGATGAACTGAAGAAGGAATTGTTAAGCAACAAAACAAAACCCTAGAACTTGGGAGATTTGGAAAATTCTGTCCACCCGTATTGCAAAACTTAGAAAGATTGTTCCGAAGAGAACACTAATGGCTGAACAACCACTCGAAAAAAAAAAAATCACGGGTGTGATTAAGTTTAGCCTTCTTCACTGAAGCCAGGAATAAAAATGGGATTATATCAACAGAAACGCTACCAGCTGGGACTAAAGGGACAGGAAAACTAGACAAATGGAGGAAGACTGTCGGACTTCTTAGGTCCTACAGGACCAGACAATAGGGCTACTCAGCTAGACATGCTCTATGCTTCACAAAAAGAATGACTCAAAAGTCAATTTCAGGATCATCAGTTTGAAACCCCTCCTCAGTTTCAGAGGGTGAGGACATCGCCTCCATTTCAACAAAGTTTTGGAGGCAGAGCTGCCTGGCAGGGCCTTCGTGGTGGGACTGCTATACTGATGGGCCAAGAAAGTGGGGTCATTGCCTCAGTGGGTCTGTAAGGTGGGGCATCAGGCCAAAGAACATTGTTCTCAAGACTTAAGAGTTCAGAGAGTCTGTCTTGCTAGGTTTTGGACTTGCTGGAGGCCTCTCACCCTTTCCTCCTTTCCTATTTCTCCCTTTTGGAATGAGAATAACTATCATATGCCTGTCCCACAATCATATTTTGGAAACACATAACTTATCTGGTTTCACAGGTTCACAGCCGGCCAAGAATTTTGCTTCAGGTTAAATTGCACTTCAAGCCTCACACATTTATGTGATATTTAGGTAAGACTTCGGACACAATGCTGGAATGAGTTAAGATCTGAGGGATTGCTAGGATGGAGCAAAGGTATCTTGCATGAATATGAATTTGGGGGAGCCATGGGCAGAGAGCTGTGGGCTGAACTGTGTGTCCCCCAAATTCATGTTGAAGTGTTAACTCTCTATGTGGTTATATTTGGACACAGAGCTTTTCAGAGGTAACTGAAATTAAATGAGGTCATAAAGCTGTGGTCCTAACCAGATAGGACTTAGACCTTTACAGGAAGAGGAAGAGAGAACTCTCTATCCACAAGCAAGCACAAAAAAAGAAAAAAGAAAAAGAAAAAAAAAAAGCTGTGTGAGGACACAGCAAGATGGCCTTCTGCAATCCAGGAAGAGAGCCCTCACCAGAGGCCAAAGCTAACACCTTGATCTTGGACTTCTCGGCCTCCAAAACTGAGAAATTCTGTTGTTTGAGCCACCCAGTCTACGGTGTTTTGTTATGGCAGCCTGAGCAGAGTGAGATAAAATATACTGGGGAGGGGGTGGGGGAGGAGGGAAGGAAGAAAAACAGAGCCTCAGGAATCTGCGGAACTACAATCAAAGACCTAACAGTCATGCCATTGGGGTCCTGGAAGGAGAGAAGGAGTGAGGGCCAAAAAATGTATTCAAAGAAATGATGGCTAAATATTCCCCAAATATGGCAAAAAACATACGCCTATAGATTGAAGAAGTTCAGAAAACAGGATAAACTCGAAATGCACACTAAGACACGCAAACTAGGGAAAACTAAAAACACAATACTCAAAATGTGTGCCGTAACAACCTTCGAAGTTTCAATGAAAAAAATATATATATACAAGGACGTCACCTGCTTCTATGCAAGAGTAAAATGGTGAAAGGTAAGTATTCCGGAGTCTTTTCAAGTCTTTCACAATCCAAGATGCAGTGTCAGTTCTGGTCTACAACTAAATTTTACTATGGTATGAATAAGCCTAAAGTACTAACTACAGACAATTGAGGTAACATCTTTATAAATAAGCACATTCTCAGGTAACTTAGCTTCAAATAGATTGAAAGCATCAAAGGTCGCTTCTGTGCTTTCTAGGCTGTCAGTCTTGACCCTTGGAGTTAACATGATTCTTAGTAGGCAGCAAATCAGTAAGCAAGATGTCAAAGACAAAAAGTGTAGAAGCAGACCGCCAGGCCAAACGTTCTCTTGGCTTTAGGGAAGAAACTGCAACTGACCAACTAACAAGTCTGATGACTATTTCCCCAGGTGGGAGCACTCATTTGAGCACTTATCTTACTCACCATTTCTTGAGTTCATTCCCCCGGTTTTCTTTCTCTGTCCTTCCCATTTACCTTCTAAGTGCCCCTGTACTTGAGCCTAAGGACAACTTCCTTTTCACCTCCACTCCCAACCCTGGACAAACTCATTGTGAATTCTCAATCTCTTATTTCTGCCTCTGCAGCTTCCCTCAAGAACCACACATCTCTTTAAAACTCCATCTCCTTAGCATTAAGAGACTACCCAGCCCAGACAAGATGTCTTCTTTCCATCATCGCACACCCTGTTTCTCTCTCAAGGATTTGGAAGCTTACATACACCTTAGGGTGCTGGAAATAATCTTCCTCTTTCCCCAGGGAAATTCAAAGTCCTCTGTTGCACTGAAAAAAATGTAAAACTCCTCCTTCACATTCTAAGTAAGCTATGCCCCATGTCAACAATGACTTCTCAATTAGTATATATATATACATACATATATATATATACACATACATATATATATATATATATATATTTTGTAACACATTCTTAAATGCCTTTGTAGCCCTCACACCATGTTTGGTAATTGTTCAATAAATATGTTCCAAATGCACCACCTTTAAATAGTCTTTATCCAGTATGAATTCTCTTTTGCTGGCCAAAGGCTGAATGCTCAGTAAAGGCTTTTCCATATTCTTTGGTTTTCCCTCCAGTATGAGTTTTCTGATGTTGAGAAAGGGATGAACTCTGGCTAAAAGCTTTTCCACATTCTTTACACTTATAGGGTTTTTCTCCAGTGTGAGTTTTCTGATGTTTTGTAAGAGATGAGCTCTGGCTGAAAGCTTTTCCACAATCCTTACACTTGTAAGGTTTCTCTCCAGTGTGTGTTCTCTGATGACGAATAAGGGCTGAGCGGTCACTGAAGGCTTTGGCACAATCATTGCATTTATAGGGTTTCTCCCCAGTGTGAGTTCTCTGGTGCTGAGTCAGGGCTGAACAGTAGCCAAAGGCTTTGCCACACTCGTTACACTCATAAGGCCTCTCCCCAGTATGAGTTCTCTGGTGCTGAATAAGGCCTGATCGATCACTAAAGGCTTTCCCACACTCATTACACTTATAGGGTTTCTCTCCAGTGTGAATGACCTGATGCTGGGTAAGGAATGTGCTTTGGCTAAAGGCCTTCCCACATTCATTACACTCATAAGGTTTCTCTCCAGTATGAATTCGCTGATGTTGAGTGAGGTATGAGCTCTGATTAAAGGCCTTCCCACATTCATTGCATTCATAGGGTTTCTCTCCAGTATGAATTATATGGTGCCGAATAAGGGCAGAGCGGTGACTGAAGGCTTTCCCACATTCATTACATTCGTAGGGTTTCTCTCCAGTATGAATTCTCTGGTGTAGAGTAAGGTGTATACTCTGGCTAAAAGCTTTACCACATTCATTACATTCGTAGGGTTTTTCTCCTGTGTGAATTCTCTGATGCAAGACAAAAGCTGAGTAGTAACTAAAGGCTTTCTCACACTCATTACACTTCCAAGGTTTCTTTTCTGCACAAATTTTCTCGTGCCTCATTAGATCTGAATTTTGTTTTAAGTTCTTTTTAAATGAATCACAGTTATGTAGTCTCTCTCCTTGCTGTTGAACAAGTAATGACCTTCGACTAAAACTTCTCCCAAATTCATCACATTGGTAGCTTCTCTCCCCAGAAGATTTCTTCTGAGTGACAACCTCCTGTACTAAATGTTTCTCATGGTTTTCCTGCTGACTCTCTGACGAATCCTCATAGTCATTGGAACCTTCCTTTGGAAATCTTGCTATTAACACAGCAGGGGCTGATTCTTCTTCAGAAATCTCCTGCTCTGGAGTTAGGTCCTTACTCTCTGGTCTTGTGTCCCAGTCTGAAAGAAACAAAATTACACATGTATCATTTCCTACATAGGAAAGAAAAATAATCGCTGTGGTAGGAAAATAATGAAAGGCAAACAAATGAAAAAACACTTATAGGGAACATAGGAACTTGAAAGCTCTCAAAAATAGCTTTGCAGGAGCACCTGCAAAAGTGGCTCAGTCAGTTAAGCGTCTGACTTCGGTGCAGGTCATGATCTTGTGGTCTATGGGTTCGAGCCCCACGTCGGGCTCTGTGCTGACAGCTCAGAGCCTGGAGCCTGCTTCAGATTCTCTGTCTCCCTCTCTCCCTGCCCCTCCCCCAACACACTCTGTCTCTCTCACAAGTAAACATTAAAAAACTAAAAAAAAATAGCTTTGCAATCTTGAGAGAACACAAGAAAAGAAAGATGACTGGACAAAGAAGTTCAGTTGCACAAGAGGGAGAGAGTGAGCAGGTACTTAAAATTCCTCTACCTTGTAGGGGAGGAGAGGAGAAAGAAATACAGAGAATAAGATTAAACAGAGGTGATGTGGGGAAATGGCAGATAAGGTTTTAAAAACAGGGTGTGGCAGAGACAGAGAAAGACAGTCTCTCAGGGACTGCCCACTATTATCCCCTCACTGGAGCTTCTGCACTTCAGGCCTTGAGAATAACCACCATTAGCTGATCTCCTTGCTACCGATCCTTCCCCATCCTAGATTTCCCAACCACTGCTAACAGACTAACCTTCAAAACTGTCGCTGTTAAACAAAAATCTATGGTGGTTCTGTTGCCTCAAGATGAGACACAGATTCTCTAAGCTAGCATTCAAAGTGGTCCAGGTCAACAAATTTACACATCACAAAGCGTAGTAAGAAGTAACTGATCACCTCTGATTGCCCCATACCCAACAAACTATAAACAATTAAACAGAATGAAGTTTAAAAAAAAATGAGGAGCGCCTGGGTGGCTCAGTCAGTTAAGCGTCCAGCTCTTGATTTCGGCTCAGGTCATGATCTTGTGGTTTGTAAGTTCGAGCCTCTCTGCACTGACAGTGCAGAGCCTGCTTGGGATTCTCTCTCCCTCTCTATATACCCATCCCCTGATCATGCATGCTCCCCCTCTCTCAAAATAAATAAATAAACTTAAAAAAATATGTTAAAAAAAATGAGTAGCATGTAGAGAGGAGAAGGTCAAATCCCTAGATGCTCAGATTGGTTCCCAACTTGTCAAGATACCTGCTCCAAATCCTAGGCTTCCGAGTAAGAGTTTTGGGAGAAAAGCTAAAAATGCTAAAAATGTTTATTTCCAGGCTTAAACAGCCTTTAATAGCCATCCCAACCATGACTCTACATGAAATAAATCAATATAATACAATGTTCTCAGGTACATATCATAATCAGGGAAGTGCCTGGGATTTTCAAAAGCAAATAGGTAGAAATAGGCTAAAGGCAAATGGACTTCCAGCTAAGGGGAATGAAGGAATTAAATCCCCAAACATTCATGGAGAACACACAGTTAGTGGAGGAAAATAAAAGACTGCTTGTCTGGTGTTAAGGGTTCAAGCTGGAGAAAAAAGAAGAGAAAATGGTTAGGCAGGTAGTAACAGAAGTTTTGGAAGCAGGTAGAAGAATACAGAACTGGCAGAGTGGGGAGTCTAGAGGTGATATGCTGCCTCAGTCAGAGAAGGATAAGACTAAAGAAAGTATAATTAGCTGGCAGTCTATTGTAGTATCTAGTATGACAGAAATGATCAGGTCAAATTCATGGTATCTTTCAAAAAAAGCTACCAGGACTTAATCAATAGTTATTATTGGCTTAGCATTTGGCTAGGTACTAGTCTAAGCATTTCTCTTGGATTATTTCATTTGGTCCTCATGACAACCCTAGGAGTTAAGTGTTATCATTATCCTCATTTTACTGTTGGGGAATTGGAGTCACAGAGAGGATAATTCACTTGTTAAAGGTCACAGGGCTAGTAAGTAGTTGAGATCGGCTTTGAATACAGAGTGGTTTCAAAATCTGCACTCACCCATGATACTCTGCTGCCTCCATTTACATAAAGAGAAAGGCAAGGGGAAACTCAGAGATTGATTTTTAGTCAATCTGTGACAATCCGGTCTGAGACAAGAAGTCACCTTATCCGGCAGAGATAAAAAGTATATGAAAAAGCCTAGTTTAAAGCCTAACACCTAAGGGCGCCTGGGTGGCTTAGTCGGTTAAGCGTCCGACTTTCACTTAGGTCATGATCTCACGGTTTGTGGGTTCGAGCCCCGCGTCGGGCTCTGTACTGACTGCCGGCTCAGAGCCTGGAGCCTGTTTCAATCTGTGACTCCCTCTCTCTCTGACCCTCCCCTGCTCACGCTGTCTCTCTCTCTCTCCTAGAAATAAATAAAAAACATTAAAAAAAAAAAAATAAAGCCTAACACCTAAGCATATAATTAACAAATATTAAAATGTTGATTTCATTGTACCTTATTTGGGGAAAAGAATTGGTTTGAAAGGGTGGAAAGTATTACTTTCTAAAAAACATTTTTTTTAAATTATGAATTTTAATATATGACCATCCACAGAGCTGGAGTGCGGTATGGGAAAAGACTTCAACTCTTCCACGGGTCTCACAAAATCTGGAAAGGCTCCTCCACAAGCACTTTGAAGATGCTTTGGTCTGGGTTTGATCCCATTGACCATCTGGGTTTTATGTCATCACTCACCTGAAGGAGTTGCTTTTGAGACTTCTCTCTCCAGCTCCTTTCCACACTCCAACTGAGAGATTGCATCGGGCTTAGAAATTGGAAGCCCTGTTTATGGGAAAAGAAAAATTAGTTTGGTCAAGAGTTCAGTATTATTTCCTTGGTTGTTAGGGGAGACAGCGTAAGAGAAAGAGAGAGGTCAGTTCCAGATTTCTCCCTCAACAGTGCTCAGAAGAAGGCAGGAAGATGTATATGAGGTCTATTTGAAATTTTTTAATGTTCTTTTTATTTATTTCTGACACAGATAGTGTGAGCAGGGGAAGGTCAGAGAGAGAGGGAGACACAGAATCTGAAGCCGGCTCAAGGCTCTGAACTGGCTGTCAGCACAGAGCCTGACACGGGGCTCAAACCCACAAACCATGAGATCAAGACCTGGGCCAAAGTCAGACACTTAACCGACTGAGCCACCCAGGGGCCCCTAAGCACCCATTTCTTAAGAGGTATCTTCATTAGAATTTCGTCTCAACATCCTTGGTCATGGCATAGAGAAGGATGCTACCACCTAGGCAAGTACAATCAAAAGGTGTCCATCTTAACTCTGGGAGGGTTAAACATACATCCAGAAACAAAAGTAGACATTGGCTGCCTCAGGACTTGCACAACGATTAAGAATCCTTGAATCTAAGAACCTCAGAGTTCCTAGGAACTAAGGAAGCAAAGATGCTACACTGGGTAAGTTCAAAGTTGGGGGGCGGGCGTGTCCTTACCCAGCAAGACCAGATTCCTGTGCTTCTCAGGCACATCTCCCCGAGGAGGATTCAGCTGCTCCCACTGGGTGAGAGCCTCGGCCATATCCCTGATCACCAATGACTCCTGAAAAAGCAAACACACCAGTGCTCACCAAGGGATCTTCCAGAAGCTTCTGAGAAGCATTCAAGCTGACAGCATAAGAGAAGGAAGAGAGGAAGGACAGGCGGGTTAGACAAAATGACCCCTAACATCCCTTCCAGCAGTAAGATTCTCTGGTATATCTGTAGCCACAGACTCATTCCCTGCCCCCGTGCATCAGAATTCCATGTAACCTGAAAGGATGGAACCTTCATTGTAAAATCTGAAGGTGCCAAGTTATTAGTTTATGTATTAATAAATTAAATTACAGAACTACAGAAATCCTTACCTTTTAGACATGGGAAAGTGGAGAAAATATAATTATGAGTTATCTATGTCCTTTGTGGTATGGTTTTAAAATATAAAGTGTTCAAGAAATAGGAAATACTTTTCTCTCTAGTTTTCCCTTGAGAACACAATCAGTCCAATACCTATTAAAAATTAAGATGTTTGCTACACGTCACAGAATATATACTTATTTGTAAAACAGTGTCTCAAGCCCAAATTATGAAAGTTCCAAAGTGCTCTCACCATTTCTCATAATGGCCCGGATCAGTCTGGAAACCCCCACCCCCGCCCCATCTACCTTCTACCGTATCTTACACTACTGCCCCCACATTCCCTGTGCTCCAGTTGGTGGCTGCCTTTCAGCTACTTGAAATGTGTGCCACATTCCCTTTTAGCCCGTTATACACGTCTCTTCCTGTTCTTCCTGCTCTCCCTCTGTCCCTTCCTTTCAGCTATTTTAATCCTACTCACACTTAAGATCTCAACTGAGGTGTTACCTCCTCAGGGAAGCCTTCCCTGATTCTCTGGGTTGTAGCACCATGTTCTTTCATTTTCCTTGGGTTTTGCCCACACTGAGGGGACTTTGTGATTAACATCTGTGTCTCCTGTTAGACCGTAAGCTTCACGAGAACAGAGGCTGACCGGGTCTAATTTTACTCACTGAAGCTACCCTATTATCTGGCATAGCCCAGGGACACTAAGTATGTGTCCAGGGACACTAAGTATGTGTCAAATAGCTGAAGGAAGGAACACATGAAGAATTACTAGAAACAAGTTTAAACGGGATATACTATAAATGTGTGCATGGGAGGGGGTGCTTGGATGGCTTAGCTAAGTATCTGACTCTTGATTTCAACTCAGGTCATGATCTCACAGTTCATGAGTGTAAGCCCCACATCAGGCTATATGCTGATAGTGTGGAGCCTGCTTGGGATTCTGTCTCCCTCTCTCGGTCCCTCTCCCACTCGCTCGTTCTCAAAAAAAGTATGTATGGGAACAGAAGTGGGGAGGAGAAGAGAAGCATATCAGACATTGCAAACACTGTAGGAGTGCAAGCCTAACCTTGATCTAGATGATAGGCACAAAGTTCAGACTGTACTAAAATGTAGGGAAAGGGAACAGAGTAGGTAATGGTCCTCTGAATATATAGCTGAATCAATTATAAGTCAGATGCTTAATAATTTTTCTAATTCTATACAACAAAAATCTCTGTACAACTTTAATTTGTGGTATGTTAAAATAGACCAGTATTTGTGATGCTAGCAAATGAAACAGCCTTGTCTCTCTTTGAACCACCACTTTTTACCAAGGCTACCTGAACGTACAAATGAAAATACGGGATAATTTTGCTTGTAGTAGCATTCTAACATTTATGATACAGCCCTCCAAAAACAACTGGTAAAAACAATTCACGTAATAAAATAAAGTTAAAAGAACTACCTACTTGAAAATCCCCTGCTGGAAAGAATTTAATTCTTTATTTTAATATTTGAAGTATAAAATCACTACACTTTTTTTAGGCTTTTTAAAAAAATGTTTATTTATTTTTGAGAAGGGAGAAGGGCAGAGAAACAGGGGTCAGAGGATCCGAAGCGGGCTCTGTGCTGACAGGGGACAGCCCAATGCAAGCCTTGAACTCACGAACTGTAAAATCATGACCTGAGCCAAAGTCGGAAGCTTAACTAACTGAGCCACCCAGGCACCTCTATTTAAGCTTATGGTCCCTTAAGACCATATGCCTCAGGAGTGTTCACACAGCACTACAATTTGTATAGTCTTCTCTCTTTACAAACAATGCAAACAGTTTGCCTGGAAGTTCCTTGCAGACCTTAGGTCCCTGAGAAAACCGCAGCAATCGAACTTGTTTATGGAGTTGCTACCCAGTGTGCATGTGCTGGGGCGGGAAGACACAGGAAGATGAACCAGAAACCATCCAGCAGATGCCACCTTCTCCCCTTTCCTCTGAAAGAGATCGACAAATTCAGATCAGAGTCCCCAGCATTTAAGCCCCGTGCGCTATGAGGCAGGTCTTAAGTGGTCAAACAGTCCCAATGCCTTCACTACAGAGTCTGCCATTCTCCCGTCATCTGAGGCCAGATCCTGCGGAAGCATCTAGATTAATTTCCCTTCAATCCGAGAGAGGAATGTTTCATCTTAGGCCTCTACAAACTTTCATGGGGCTTTATTTACCTTTGGAATAAGACCCAGTGTAAGTTTTCTTATAGTCTGGCTACAACGAACCTAAGCTTCCCTTACCATACTCCAGCTCACTCTACAGTGACACACACACACCCTTTGAAGACCTCCAACTCACTTACAGGCTTTGAGCCTAAGCTGTTCTCTCTCTTGGAATAATTCTGTATTCTATTCTTCAATTACCTACTCTCATATTTTCCAAAGTGCAGCTTTTAACCCATATTTTTATCCCAAGTACTCTAGAGGATGGAAAAAAAAAAAAAAAAGGAAAACCTCTTCTATGGCCTTTTATGACTTGTCTGTACCAGTCATTTCTGTATGAAATGACTTTCATTTTTGCTGATTATCTTTTTGCTGATTAACTATTTTTCTTATCTCTATCGTATTTTCTCAGTACATTTCATGAGGCAGGGAAGACTGGCTTTTATTACTTTGCATCTGACCATGAGGCCAATGAAGGTACCGAAGAGTTAGTAAGAGTGAATCAAGCACAAAGTGGGTTGAGAGAAGTAATGCTGGAGGGAAAGTTCTGCATGAGTAAGGAGCATTTACTGTCAGGCTCATCACTCATCATTTTATCAGGATGAACTCAGTGGTCTATGAATCAGAGCTGAGCAATTCCATAACAATGGCAGAAACTGTATCCCTGTTCTGAGAACAAAAGGAAAAAAAAAAAAAAGAAAGAAAACTAAACCCACCTGGGATGCAGGGGTCAGCAGCACAGTGGTCATGCCATTTCCTTTTGGGTTTCCAGCACAGGGAAGGTCTAAGTCCTCAGAAAGTGACCCTACAAGTGGAGATAGGAGCTGTGACGATTACTCTTGCCTTGCAGTACACTTGCAGAAACTTCCATACACCGCTACTTGTCACCTAAGAAAAGTCAACACAGGAAATCATGGGACAATCCCACAACATCCCTGAATCAAGACAAACATGACCTCCTAACCTCTGCCCTTAAATTCTAGTAGAACTCTGCGGTGAAAATCTAGACACATAAATTAAATACGTATTTCTATTTATCATCTACTGAGTGACAAAGTAATACTCAAAGTCTGTCTGTCCATCCGTTCCTCAATGATTCATTCCTGTTTTGTTCCAGAATCACAGGATGAAAGAAGACTAGTTAAATTCAGATACAATACTGGCTTTTCAGATACAATACTGGCATTCTTAGAAAAGCGATGGGTCTCAAAGGAGAAAAAAAAAAATCCAGTGTTCTAAACAAATCCCGTGACTTCTAGAATCCTCACTTTCCCATCTGTAAATGGGGATAACAATCTCCTTTCTACCACCTTATAGGGTTCCTGTGAGAACAAAATGAAGTCATTATCAAAAGCCAAATTGTCAGATCTGGTGATTTGGGGGACAAGGGAGGCACATAACATCCCCAAGACGAGCAGGGCAATGGTGCCGCGGGCTCTTCCTCAAAACCCCAACGGGCAACCAACCAGTTGGAAAGAGCTGTCGTCTCACAGAGAAGACGTGATGCTTCTTCCAGAGCCAGCCCCAGCCAGAGGGCAGCCTTTCCCCTCTTTTCTCTCCAGCAGGCTCTGCGGCTGCATCCCTCCGAAATTCTCACCTCTGCCCCCAGGGTCCTTGGAGACTCCCTCCCACGGCCCGCGCAGGCGACGGCTGCCGCGGGAGAAGGGCGCAGCGAACGCGCGAGGGACCCCGGGCGTCCACCGCTGTGGTGCACTCAGAGGCCCGGGAACGCGCGCGCGACCCTCTCAGGGCAGCCTGGCGCCACCCCGGGGCCCTCCCGCCGCCCTCCTTCCCGCCACCCAGACGGGGAAGGGCCAGCGCTTAGGCCTCCTAGACCCCAGGATCGACCTCCCGCACCACGCAGGAGCAGCCCCGGCCTAGCAACAAAGGCATCTAGGAGCCGGCCGGGCCAAGTTGCGCCGGCCTGATCTCGAGGCTGAACTACGACTCCCAGAATCCTCCGCGGGGCGAGGTCACGTCACCGGTAGCCGCTTCCCAGAGGACTCTGCGGGACGCGGGCCAGGCGGACCTACCCGCTCCGGGCTGGCGCTCCATCGAAGTCGTGCGGTTACCGGATCTCCAAGACAGGCCCTTCAGAAACCTGTGTTAGGCCGCTCCTTGGATGCGGACTCTGGGCCCCGGCAGATGTATTCGGTCGCACTAACCCCCGCCTCGCAGAGGACGTTCACTGCCCCGCAACTGCGACCAGCCAAGGGCACCACCCCCGACCTATCCTGGATTCCCTCTTTACCCGTGGTCCTTCCTCAGGAGGGAGGCGCCCGCATCCATCGCTTTCTTTCTGCGCCTTCATGGTATTAATTCGCCCATTGTGGCGGGGACAGCTGATGTCAAGTAACCGGGGGTGTGCATTCCAGACTGCATCTCTGAATATGGAAAAGTGGAATCTCACTGCTGGAAATCCCCTCAGCCCAAGAAGTTATTAGTTAATAACTGGCACCGTTGACCTCAAGGTGACTGGATCATGAAAGTCTCAAGAACAGAGAAGTTCGAGGAGCTGCCAGCTGGGATTGGGTGTATCTCAGGATGGTGTATGTTCTCACGCATCTTCTCACAATAAAGTAGCCACTTTTCTTTCTGGTTCAAATTCCCAAAAAAGAAAATCCAGTTAGCCTAACAGGCTAATTAGCCCAAAATGTCCAATTGCCCTTTCTCTAAAGCCCCTCACTTTTAGGTAGGCCTAACGCTTCCTAGAGTTAAGATTATATTTATCATCCCTATCTCTTGCCAGGGAAATGAGAGCAAAGTGATTCTTAAAGGGAAGAGGAAAGCGCCTCCATGCTGGCTGGAACACAAGTCATCATGGACCACGTGAACAAAGTTAACACTCTAGAAATGGTAAACCAGCAGGATACAAGGAGTTGAGCCCCTGACAATTTGGTGGAACAGAGCTTGGGCTTTAATGTGAGATGTAAACTCCATTTTGTATACGCCACTATTACACTGGGTTTCTGCTTTATGGATAGCTACGCTTCTCTCATAACTGGGTTAAAAGTGGCTGCTTTTGGTCCAACGAGTGAGGACTGAGGAGAGAGGGCATGTGATAGAGAACACAGCCCTACCAGCTCAAAACAGCTGGAAGGAGCCCCCGCCCCCTCCATCAGCAAGAAATATACCGCGAGCATTTTATTTCAAAAAATTGTTGTGTGTGCAAGGCACCACAAGTTGACTTGTCTGGAACACTTGGGAATACCTTCCCTCCTTTTGTTAACCAGCCACATCACAGAAATCCCCCTTTTGTTACCCAATCAATGGGCAGGTCTCAGCTTTCCTCTCACTTTACCCATCACCAACACTTGGTAAAACTCACTACAGGGGCGTGTGGGTGGCTCGGTCTGTTAAGTGTCCGATTTCAGCTCAGGTCATGATCTCACAGTTCGTGGGTTCGAGCCCCACGCGTCGGTTTCTGTGCTGAATGCTTGCTCGGAGCCTGGAGCCTGCTTTGGATTCTGTGTCTCCTCTCTCTGCCCCTCTCCTGTTCACACTCTGTCTCACTCTGTCTCTCAAAAATACATAAAGGTAAAAAAAATAAATAAAAAATAAATAAAACTCACTACACCCTCTTCCTGGAAAAACTCTCTGGTTTTCCTCCGTGACGGGTCACTCCTTCTCAGTCTTTAAGTAGACACTCCTACCCAGTCTCTAAACCAGTGGTTCTCAAACTGTACCATGATCAGAATCACCTGGAAGCCTTGTTAAAACAGTGCTGACCTCAACCCTTATTCAGGATTCTGGAGTGGGACCTGAGAATTTGCATTCCTAACAAGGTCCCAAGGGATGCTGAAGCTGTTCATTTGGAAACCAACTAAATACTGGAATGTCCCAGAGCTCAATCCTTGGGCCGCTCTTCTTTTTCTGTGAATACTTTTTAGTAATCTTGTTCAGTCTAGATGTTCTAAATCCCATCCAAATGTGATCAACTCCCAATTTATATGTCTAGCATGGGTTTCTCTGACCTTGAGCTCTCTCCTCAACTCCTTACTTTTTAAATAAATATCTCAAATATAGGACGTTCAAACTGAACTTTTGATGTCCTTCCTCCCCGTATCATAACTCTTACTCCTGCAGTTTTCCCTACTTCAGTAAACGGCAGCTCGTCCTTCTGGTTGCTCAGTTCAAACACCTTGGAGTCATCATTCTCTTTATCGCACGATCCACATCCAGTTCCTCTGCAAATCCTGTTGGCTGTACTCTGCAAATACATACAGAATCTGACCACTTCTCACCGCCTCTAGTGCTGCCACCCTGGTCTAAGCACCCATCATCTGTTGCCTGGATCACTGCCATTAGCCAGTCTGCTAACTGGCCTCACTCCTACTCTTTTCAACACACTTGCTCTCCTATCTCCAAACAAAGCCTAAGTCCTTACAATGGCCCACAGAGCCCTTCAAAATCTGCCTCATCCACACGAACTCTTTGATCTCATCTTCTACCACTCTCCCCTTATTTGTTCTGCTACAGCCATACCGACCTGTCATTCTTCAATTGAGTGAAGCCTTTGTGCTGTTCCTCTGCCTGGATAGACATCCTGGGTAAATACAGGTATCCACCGAGCTTGTCTCTCACCTCCAGGCCTTTGTTCCCCTTCTTTGTGAGGCCTTCTCTGACCACTTATTTATCTTTGTCCATAGCTTATTTTTGTCCATAGCATTTATCTATTTCAAACACATAGTTTTGTTTATTGGGGGTCTTCCAACACCACAGATTAAACATGGGAGGAGTATCCCAGAGTATTTACTGCTACTTGGATAAGCAATAACTGAGTATATCCTCTGTACTTGCAAAGAAGGTACAAATGCCTGAAACTAATACTGTCCTCATTGCTTTTCTTGGCTTTCATTTGGGTGCTTTTGGAAAACTTGGACTTCCTTTGTAACCCTCCTTTTATTTACAGAGGCCCTACTTTAAAGTTTGGGGATTTGTTTGTTTGCTTGTTTTTTTGTTTAGAATTGGGGAGGCAGAGAGAGCGGGGGAGGGAGGAGCATGGAGCTGTCAGCATGGAGCCCCAAGTAGGGCTCGATCTCATGAACCATGAGATACGACCTGCGCGGAAATGAAGAGTCAGACACGTAACTGACTGAACCACCCAGGTCCCTGAGAGACCCTACTTTAGAAATATCATAGCCCTGGACACTACCAGCTGGCCCAGGCACATAAACTGGTGTCCCACAGTAGAGTGGTGTTGGAACACTTTGAGATAAAAATCCCCAATGAGTCCCCGTTGTCTCTTAAGGTGGATTGTCCTTGAGTTTTCCTAAATTTACTGAGGGCTTCTGTTTCCTTTTAGTCTGAGTTTGCCACAACACCCCACCAGGAACGCATCTTCGCATTCCTTAAGAAGCTACAGTGCCTTTAAGGGTCATTTATTTTGATGTGAAAGTTGATATGCAGAGAGATATCAAAGGATACGCAGAGGATATAAAAGAAATCCTTTAGCTGACCTTGGAAGAGGGCAAAACTGGAAATGTAAAGGTAGAATTTGGGTGGCAAACAGAAGGAGGTTTCAGGGACATGAGATTCAACAGAAGAGAGATGTGCTCAAGGTCTCGGGTACTGAGAGAAGAAGGCAGATATGAGACAGGCAATCAAGCTTGGGAGTGAAATAGCAAAGGCAATAAATCAGGCCTGAGTCATGTACCTCGTTATGTGACATGTCACCTTTGGGCACATACCCTCAGCTCTCTGCTCCAGCTCGGCTGCCAGAGCCTGTGACCTCCCTCAGACGTTTGATGGCACCACCTTCAGCTGGACGGTTAGCCGCCTGGGAGTGCCAGTCTCTCCCCCTTGCCACAGGCCAAACAACTGCACAGCTCAAGCTTCTGGTTCCTTGCACCCCTTCCAGGCTTGCTGAAGTGCCACATAATGGCTGGGGATCTGGCCTCCCTAGGGGTGGCTGGATGAAGCAACCCGAAAACGTGAGGTAAACGGGAGGAATCTGATCAGTTAAATTCCTTCTGCCCATAAACTTCTAACAGAAATTTCCTTTGGCTGTGAATGTAATGGTTAAATACATAAGGGTTTATTTTCTCTCATCTAAGATTAGGAGTAGGCAGTCCAGAGCTGGTATGGAGTCCCCATAAGATCATCAAGGAACCAGATGGCTTCTGTTTTTCTCCTTTCCTATCCTTCAGGAATGGCTCATATTCTCAAAGTCACAAGATGGCTGCTGAAACTCCAGCCACTAAATCCACATTCCAGGTAGACAAGAAGGGAAGGGAAAAGGCAAAAGAAGGTTTCTTAGCTGCCCCTCCCTTTCAACATGCCTTTCCAAAAGTCCTTTCCAACAAATTCCAATTATGTTAACATATCATTTGCTTGATATTTGATACATCAACATACTGTTGGCCTCACATTTGATATATCACTATTTCATTGGCCCGACTAGCCATACCTCACTACAAGACAGGCTGAGAAATAAAGCTGGGCGCTCTACTGTGCTCAGAAGAGACTTGGATTTCCTATTGTTAAGGATGAAGAAAAGTAGGACTACAATTTAGGCAATTGTAACAGCTTCTGCCACAGTAAGCAGCAGTCAATGCTTATTATCAACACTTTAGCTATTGCAAGGTTCCTTAATCATGAGGTTCTAGAAAGTGGCTCAATAAGGTGATCCTAGGCTATTTGGTCAATTGTCTCTTCTGCATACTTCGCATATGTTTTATACACATGTGTGAAGGAAAGGAATCCACATCTCTACAAGATACTTATAGCATGTTTAACAGGTTGGACATCAGATCTTTGGTCATCATGGGGACAGATTGTTTTGTGGCCTCTGCTACTGGGCTTCACTATTAACTCCATTTGTCCTTTCTAAGGTTCCAGATTCCTGCCCATTAACAAGACTAAAGAAGAGAGTGCCATGCTCATTCTCTATCCTTCATCCATTGTAAGGCCAATATGGTACAAGAAATTAAAGCAGGGGTGCCTAGCTGGCTTAGTTGGTGTGACTCTTAGAGCATGTGACTCTTTTTTTTTTTAAGTTTATTTATTTTGAGAGAGAGAGAGAGAGAGACCCAAGCAGGCTCTGCACTGTCAGCATGGAGCCTGATGCAGGGCTCAAACTCACGAACTGGGAGATCACAAACCTAAGCCAAAACCAAGAGTTAGACACTTAACTGACTGAGCCACCCAGGTGCCCCAAGTGTGCAACTCTTAGTCTCAGGGTTGTGAGTTCGAGCCCAACACTGGGTGTGTAGCCTACTTAAAAAAAAGGGGGGGGGGAGGGGAGAAAATAACTGTGCTTTTTTTAAAAAAAAAAAACCACCTAGACATGAGAACCTGTCCTCCTCATCTTGGTGCTCATGTTCTCTCAGCTGCTCTATGGAACTACTGCTTTATTACTAAGCAGGAATTCTCAAGATGTAGGTGTGAGGAAGCCAATCTATGTCTCCACTGTGTAGGTGTGGATATTGCATTTTGAGGGAAAGATGCTGATGTTGAGGGCAAGAAAGACATCATGTCTAATAGGACCTGGTGGCCTGGCTCTCAGGTACATCCTCATGTCTGCTGCTTTAGTACTAAAGGATGACTACTCACGGATGAGCTATGCCTGGAGTTAACTTTGCTTTGTGATATTCTTAGAGATGAGACATAGCACCATATCCTGGTTCACTGTGGCTGACTTCTTCAGCCTGGAACCCCACCCAGCTGCCACAGCTGGCTTGCGACTAGACTGAGAATTTTTGGCATAAATATGTTTCCCTTCACCATTTATACCTGAATACGTTATGAGAAAGGGGAGGTATTATATTCAGAGTACGAATGGAATGGCAGAGCCACACTAAGGAATTTTAGTTATCAACGAGACTAAACAGATATAACACAAAAAAAGCAACCACTAACCTAGAAACCAGGGTGATGAGTTAGTCTACTAGAGACCAAAGGTCAGGTGAGAGGGCAGAAGAGCCAAAGTTTGGGGAAATTAAGGGTCCTGCGTGAAGAACAAGGACATACCCAAACCGGGGCTCCAGGAACCTCAAAGAGTAGATTAAGAGCACAATCATCATGAAGGTATTTACAGTCCTACATATGTATTAGCTTCATGTTAATTTTCTTAAGTTTCTAGTTCTAGAAAGTGCTTTTGGTTGAGGACTCAAGTTCTCATGAGTAGACAGGTATTCATTCATTGAGAAAATATGTAATAAGTGGCAGACATCACACCGGAGTCATGGCAGCACACAGATATGAAATAGTTCCTGTTCTTATGGAGTGGTCTAGAATTTAAAAAAATAATAATTATAAATAAATAAATATAAACATATGATGCTTATCTTTGGGTCCCCTTCAAACACTTACAAAACATCTCAATTGGAGAGCTTCTGACCAATGTGGGGATCTTTGGAGTATTATATAGCGTATGAGGCACCCCAGTGGAAGTCCATGGCATGGCCCATTAAGACGATTTACGGAGCTTCTAGTACCAAATAGAGACATGAGAATAAGCAGTAGTTAGAAGGTGCTCAAACACAAACCTTCATTATCTTGAATACAAGCAGCTTAAGTCTCTATGGGGGCCCCTTGCCGGGCTGGAGCCCCTCTATGATATCCTGAGGCCTGCCTGGCATAGCGTCGCTGATGCTGGATGATGGATGACTTGCAGCTGAACACCTTCCCACACACGCTGCACTCGTAGGGCTTCTCTCCAGTGTGCACTCTCTGATGCTGAGTAAGTCGTCTTTTCTGGAGGAAGGCTTTCCCACATTCAGTGCATTTATAGGGCTTGTCTCCACTATGAATTTTCTGATGCTGGTTAAGGGACGAGCGGTCAAAGAAAACTTTCCCACACTCCTTACATTCAAAAGGAGTCTCTCCAGTGTGTGCCCTCCGGTGGCGAATGAGGGAGGAGCGGTCAAACAGGGCTTTGCCACAGCCCTTGCATTCATAAGGCCGCTCTCCAGTGTGAGTGAGCCTGTGGCAAGCCAGGATGCTTCTCTGGCTGAAGGATTTCCCGCATTCTGTACACTCATATGGACTTTCTCCGGTATGAATTCTCTGATGGCGAGTAAAAGAGGAGCGGACAAAGAAGGCCTTGCCACATTCGTTACATGTAAAGGGCTTCTCCCCGGTATGAGTTCGCTGATGTTCAGTAAGGCTTAATCGGTCATAGAAAGTTTTCCCACATTCGTTGCATTCAAAGGGGCTCTTCCCAGTGTGAGACATCAGATGTTTCTTAAGACTACTTCTATAGCTGAAGGCTTTCCCACATTCTTTACAGTTATAGGGCTTCTCTCCGGTGTGAGTCCTTTGATGGCGAGTGAGGGATAAGTGGTTATATAAGGTCTTCCCGCATATGCCGCATTCAAAGTTTCTCCCCTTGCTGTTGGTTTTCTTGGCAGGAGTGGATCTTTTCCTGGAGTTCTTCTCTTTGGAGGAGGATTCCTTCCAAGTCTCCCCTGATAAATGTTCTCTCTTTGTGCCCCTGAGGTTTTCTGAGCCAAATACAGGACCCAGAGGACCATCTTTTCCGAGTTTTTTCATTAATGTCTTTTGCAACGTTCCTTTCTTAGATATATCCTGGCTTTGAGTTGAGTCCCAGCTCTCAAGTCTAGCATTCTGGACTAAAACAAATAGAAAATATAGATATAACTGGGTCCTAGTGCTAGTGAGAAAGAGAACATTATCACTGTTAAGAAAATAATGAATACAAAATACATCCTGGTTTACTGGTGGCTCCTCAAAAAAAGAAAAGCATCACAGAGAGGCTGAAAAATGGCAGAGAAAAACAGAGGAACAGAGAGGAGAAGTGGAAGGTGGGCATTTAGCCCACTAAACAAGTTTCAGTTATTCATTCGTTAGCTACCTTCCAGGTGTCCACAAAATGCTAGGCACAGTAGAAGTCATTGGGACTCTAATGAACAAGACAGACATGGTCCCTGCCCTCATGATGCTTATATTCTACACGACAGGAAACAAAGAAAAAATAAATAAAATACAACAGATGGTGGTAAGTCCAGTGAAGAAACTAATGAATGGAAGTTGGAGTGGGGTCTTCCTTAGAGGGAAAACTTAAGAATGGTCATCGACAAGTGACAGTTAAGCTGAGCTCTGAAAGATACACTAACCATGTGAACAGCCAAAAGATCATTTCAGGGAGATATACATGCAGAAAAATAGGCAATACACAAAGAAGCATGGAAATGACTAGGCGGTTTATTACATGTCAATGAGTTCAAATGGTAGACAATAAGTAAAAAGACCAGCTAGGACCTGAGAAAGTGAGCTTGTCAGTGACTACTGAATGGTTTTTAAAGGAAGAGGAAGGAGATATGGTAAAGGCTAAGTAGGAAAGACAAAATAAGTGTTATCAGAGTTAAATATAAATAGATCTCAACCTTCCCCCGACCCCCTCCCCCAAAACTCAACAGGTAGGACCTTGCTACCTGTTCATTCATCTGATAAATACCTGAGTGTGTGCTACATACCAGGTACTATTCTAAACACTGGGGATGCAGTAGTGAACAACATAAAACCTCGGATGGAGTTTACATTTTAATCAGAAGGTAGGTATGGACAGACACTAAACAAAATAAAGAATTAAAAATATAGTAATGTTAGGAAGACTGACCTGGGAAGAGAGTTAGGTAGTACAGGGGCGGGGGAGGAGGAAAGTGATGGAGAGATTTCAATGAAAGATATGGTCATCGGGGCAGGCCTGACTGAGAAGGCAGCACATTTGTGCAAAACCGTGAAAAAGGTGACAGGAAAGCCACATGGCTATCTGGAGGATGAGTGTTCCAGACAAAGGCTCAGAACAGCAGTGGACATCTCCACAGGCCTATGAGATCCGAGGAGTGGTCTCTGCAAGTGAATGAATGCTCTATCGAAATCCTATCTGCCTAGTTCACACATACCTAAGAAAGTACTTCCTGGGACTTCTCTTTCTTCGTCTTCCTGAAAATCAAGTTTCCACGGCTCTTCACCTCTCTTCAACTGGAAAATCACATCAGGTTTAGGAACAAGAAGTCCTGCTCACAAAGGACAAAATAAGAAATGGCTGTTTGGGATAGAAATTCACAACCATCCCAGGGTTTAATAAAATCCGCTTAATCTCTAGAGAGGAAAATGGCAGTATCCAAAAATCATATGCCACTTTCGGAAATAAGATACTAATTCTTCTGCTCTGAAGGGAAGTCAGTACTGACTTTCTAGAAAATCTGAATTAGATCTATTGAAGTAGTTCACTAATTTTTCTCGGCTGTAGGAACCTCCCCAAGATGGAACTAGTATTCATAAGAGTTGAGGGAAAATTCTTAGCTTAGAGAAGTGGAATATGGAGAAGGTTCTGTACCTTAAGGAACTAAGGTGAAGAAGCTACCTCATCTTCTTTTGTAGCTTTTTAAATAATAGATTTGTATCCTTTAATTATACTTCTGTGCAATTATACTGAATTTGATGCAACTACAAATCAAACTGGAATAGTTTAAGAAATGTTACTCAACTTATGTGCAGTTAATATTAAACACTTAAAACTAAAAATATCAGTGAACAATTTTTTATAAATCCTTAAAAAATGACTTAAATGTCTTTGGCTTTCAATGATTTAAAGTAATGACATTTATAAATGTTATATATATATATATAAAACATTATGTCATATATATATATAAAACATTTATATAGTGACATACATAAATTTTCTATATTTATGTTTTAAAAGGCATTACTAAATGTTTAAGACATACAAAAAGTATAAAGACTAAAACGAAAAGCTATGAACCTACCATCTAACTTAACACTAAAATTGGGGGCGCCTGCGTGGCTCAGTTGGTTAAGCATCCGACTTCAACTCAGGTCATGATCTCACGGTTCGTGGGTTTGAGACCTGCCTTGGGCTCTGTGCTGACAGCTAGCTCAGGGCCTGGAGCCTGCTTCAGATTCTATGTGTCCCTCTCTCTCTGACCCTCCCCTGCTCACGCTGTCTCTCTCTCTCTCGGAAATAAATAAAAAATATTAAAAAACCCCCACTAAAATGGAAGCCACTCCCTCATCCCCTCTCCCTTCCCCTACTGAGGTACCTGCCATACTATATGTGATGTTAATCACTTTATGCATTTAAAAATGTTTCCTCATCTTTATAGTTTTAAAAATATGTTATGTTTGGGGTGCCTAGGTGACTTAGTTGGTTAAGTGTCTGACTCTTGATTTTGGCTCAGGTCATGATTTCATGGTTTGTGGGATCAAGCCCCATGATGGGCTGTGTGCTGACAGCAAAAAGCCTGCTTGGGATTCTCTCTCCCTCTCTCTCTGTCCCTCCCCTGCTCATGCTCTCTCTCTCAAAATGAATAAACATTAAAAAATATGAAATGTTCATTATAGACAATTAAGAAATATAAAAAAGAGAAAAAGTCACTTGTAAGTCTATTAGTCAAAGACAATTGGGGTAAAATTTTGGTGTAGATTCTTCCAGACTTTTTCTATGCATATAGATATATGTTGTAAATGTACTCAGGTTCCAATCATTTTGTATCCTGCTTTTATTATTTAACAATATATCATTAATATCTTTCTAACTCTATAAACATCATTCACGGTCAAGGCCCATACTATACTGGTGTCCATTATGGATATACAATGATTTATTTACCTAAATCTCTACTATCAAGTAACTGTGTTTTTTCCATTGTTTCACAATTTTAAGCAAAACAGGGATAAACATTTATCTGATATTATCCCCCCCTTGGGACAATTCCCAGAAATGGGATACCCATTTTCCATTTTATTTTTTTTTAATGTTATTTATTTCTGAGAGAGAAAGTGAGAGAGACAGCATGAACAGGGAAGGGTCAGAGAGGGAGATACAGAATCTGAAACAGGCTCCAGGCTCTGAGCTAGTTTTCACCATAGAGCCTGACACGGGGCTCGAACCCACGAACCTTGAGATCATGACCTGAGCCGAAGTCGGACGCTCAACTGACCGAGCCACCCTGGCGCCCCTCATCTTCCATTTTATATAACACAATTTTTTGCTTAAAGCTGGGGTCTCAGACCAAACTTCACTTATCCTTCAAACTCTATCCATATCAAGAAGGCCATTTACTGACAGTACTGACAGCCATTAGTAAAATACAAACAACAAAAGGCAAATAAACTCACAAACCACTCATACCCTTGTTAGGGATCTATCTAAAGATGTACAATTCTGCCCCAGTAAGAAAAGAAGGGCCACCTGGGTGGCTCAGTTGGTTAAGTGTCCAACTCTTGATTTTGGTTCAGGTCATGATCTTACAGCAGTAAGCCCCACATTGGGCTCCACACTGAGCATGAAGTCTGCTTTCTCCCTCTCTCTCTGCCCCCTCCCCTGCTTGTGCTCTGTCTCTCTCTCTCTCAAAAATAAATAAACTTAAAAAAAAAAAAAAAAGGACCATATTCTTTACACACACACCCAATGGCAGTCATTGAAGAGTCATGCTTACCCAAAGAAACAAAACCTTGATAATTCTCCAGCATCACCTCCCTGTAAAGAGCCCTCTGAGTAGGGACCAGCTGCTTCCACTCATCCTTTGAGAACTTCACAGCCACATCCTTAAACTTGAGTGACTTCTGAAAAGACAAATATGTTCTTACTCATCTATGTGCCTTCTTTTATGTCTCACTGAGGAAGAGTAAAGACTACAGCACTGGAAGACATATGGAATAAAAAAGAAATAGTTTTGATGATGTAAGTGCCCTGGATATTTTAAGTAAGAGGTATAGGTCTGTGACCTGAAGCATGAAACTCTTGGTGATGGCCTCATGTCATCACATCCATGACAGAGCGTCCGAACTTCAGGGACAACGTTACTGACCTCAATTTTTTAAACTATAAATTAAGGAATTAGATTAGATGATCTTTAAATTCCTTTTCAGCTCTAACACTCATGGATCCATGAGGTCCTTGCTTGAACAACTGGTTCTCAAGTCAAGGGGAGATCTATGATGAGTGTACAAAAGGATACTTTTAAGAACTCAAACTGAAGAAAAAGGATAAAAAGTGTGGTGTCCCTTTGATAGGAAGATAACATTCCAGACTAGAGGATTCAGAATTTTTATATTCTCATGAAAGTTCTCTAAGCACTCCCTGAGCTCATTGCTAAGGGCAGAGCTGCCTCAATCCTCTGCTCCCCGACCATTACAAAACACATGATGGGGCTGGTCACCAAGGCTTTATGACGGGCCATTCAGACAGAAGATCCCTACGGCTTTGTTGTATGGTCAGACAGGAGAGAATCTGAAGCCAGAAAGGGTACTAGTGTTCTCTACAGAGCCCCACTTCTGCCAAAATGGGACCAATCTCCAAGGCTGGCAAGGAAGCTCTGGACTGAAGAAGGACCAACTCACCTGGCATCTGGCTGTTAGGGGTACAGCTGCCATTCTCTCCTCTTCTATGACCTCTTGGAAAAGGCCCAGGCCAGAGTTGGCAGAGCTAGAGAAGGAACAAGAAAAGAGACCACTCTCATTTTGTAGTTGTCTGACTCAGACTAAAAATCTCTACATATCCATTAGGTGTGAAACAGCCCTTATGCTCAATACCCTACTAAGACCAAGGCAAGCCCGGAAGTAAATTCACCTTTTCCCAGGAGATGGAAATTAGGGAGATTGCCACAACTCTGTTCCTGAGTTAGCAGCTTCCTGGGAACAGAGCTCTGTTCCCGTATCAGAAAACTATTAAAAATCAAATCATTTACACTGAAGTTGATTTTTACTCCATTTTATAAATTTATAATAAGCATCATGCTCTGTAGTATTTTGACATAAATAAGCAACTTAAGGAATAACTCAATTTGACTTTTAAATTGAAGATGACCAGAAGGATGCTTACACTAGCATTTTTTAAAAAGCTTATCTGTAGCCTATATGGTCCAGGATAAGAAAGTAAAAGCAAATTCGTGTATTAGTGTATTTGTCAAGTTTTGTTTAGTTCTAAGGACCAGAAATATGTTCAACCAAACTAAGGTGTTATTTTTAGGATACAATAGGCATTATAAAGATACTGTAATAAAACAGCATCTAGGCCTCATGACATTTGTGGCCCCTACTGGGATGAATATCAAGGGCCTCCTGTCCTAATTCCATCCTGATTGTCAAAGGTCCCAAGTACAGGTTCAAGAAGTGACTGGGTCCCATCCAATCAAGAAACTGAGTCACGAGCACCTAGGTGACTCAGTTGGTTAAGCATCTGGCTCTTGATTTCAGCTCAGGTCATGATCTCACGGTTCCTGAGATTGAGCCCTGACTCGGGCTCGGCTCTGACAGTGCAGAGCCTGCTTGGGATTCTCTCTCCCCCACTCTCTGTTCCTCCCCCATTAACATGTATATGCTTGCACTCTTTTTCTCTCTCAAAAATAAACAAACTTAAAAAAAAAAAAAAAGAAAGAAACAGAATCAAAACTACCACATGCTAGAAATTCCAGTTTCCTTTAGGGTCATCTTTTTTGGTTAGAGTCATTTTTTTTTTAAGTTTATTATCATTTTTTTAGTAATCTCTCTACCCAATGTGAGGCTTAAACTCATGACCCCGAGATCAAGAGTCGCTAGCTCCTGACTGAACCAGCCAGAGGCCCCTGTTAGAGTCATTTATAAAGTTTCCACAGAACTAGGAGGCTATATGCGAAATGACACCCAGCTATTCAATTCAGTCCAGGACTGAATATAGTTGCTTTTCCAGCAAGAGAAAAAGGGCAGCAGGACCAACCAGGATGGACTGACTGACCACTGCCCTTACAGCACTGGCTGGCTTCACAGAAGACCATGGGAAATAAAGGATTAGCTAGAGAGCTAGGGTGTCCAGAGTGCAATGGTCACCTGCAGACACACACAGACCCCACCCGAAGTTTGGTTTCAATATTGAGAATGAGGATGCCATACGCAGAAACACAGACCAAGTATAGAAAAAGGCTTATTACTTACATAATTGAGGGCTCTGGAGAGAGCAGGGCAGGTCTCTCAAGCAGGTCCAAAATAGCTTAAGAGACCAAGGAAAGAACAGCCTGGTCGTTATTGTGGTTAGGGGGGAGGGTCAGGGTGAGCGTTCCCACATGCCCACAGGAAGGGGCTCAGGTGACTGGAATCTCCCGCCGATGCCCAAGGAGAGAGCATTCAGACTTCCTTATCAGATGGTCCAGGTGTGAAACACAAGGGCAAGAAGGAGGGGTGAGTCTTAAAAGCTCAGCAATCAAACATCAAAAAGTGAAGGCAGATCACACAGAGTAACTCTACATCCGGAACAAGAAGAATCTCTGTCTTCTTCTCTCCAGGTCTACTGATCTTTGGGCCTGATATCGAGACCATCTGTGACATAACAGATTGGAAGAGACATAAGTGGTACCTGGAAGACATAAGTGGTAATACTATTCCCAAGAGAAAGATTCATTTATCTAATAGAAGTATTAGTCAGAGAATCTGAAAAATCCTTCCTGGAGTAGAGCCAGGAACAATGATCTTCTCAAACTTGCCCACAGGGAATGCCAGAATAATATTCTCTCAGGGATTTCTTACAAAGGCTGTTGCAAAATGTAGTCAGGATGCAATAGGGAGGGCAAAAGAGTAGAAAAAGAAAGAGGGTACAGGGTCCCAATAGTGCTCATCCAAAGCTGACTCTATGCAATACAATCCATACAAACCAGTAGGATAAGTCACATTTGGCACCATCTTCTGGATTCCAGTTATGTTGGTGATCTACTACCAATCAGCTTTTATTTTTATTTTTAATTAATAGACTTGTGTACACTGCTGGATACTGAAGGATAATGATGGTGCTACACATCTTTATCTCTTGTTCTTGAGATCAAGATAGAGCAATGTATCTTGATAGAGAACCTAGATACCTTGGACATTTAGAATGGTCAACAGCAAGATTATATTTATAATTTCTGTGTATGCAGGCCATCTGACATGTGCCTGGAGGTGACCACAAATGATAACGGTGCTGGAACAAAGCCATCAGGGGCTACATGGGTCTTGTACCTCTTCACCTCCCAAGAGAATGTTCTCTGAGCTCTCAGAGGAATGTTCTCAGAATATTCTCCTCTGTACAGAGAAGGTTCAATGAGGTCTTTAACTCCCAACCCTCCTGAGCTTACCAATCTAACACCCACAATTAACTGGCCATGGTCTCTGTGTCTCCTACTTAGAATTCTCAAGACCCTCTTGGTTGTTAGCCATTGAGCCTAATTGAGCCTTAGATCATGTTTCCACCTTTTGCCCACTCAGCCATTGCCCAGGACCGCAAGGAAGAGCAGTTCTCAGAGAAATGGACTACGGCCAGGACAGGCCTACAACTCTATATAATTTTCTTAGTAGTCATGTTTCAAGGTGAGTGACAGGCACCAAGGAGCAGCTACTGTTCTGTCTCTGGAGCTCTGCTAACACTTCCCACTTTTCAAGGCAGTATCTTTATTCACATCCATTCATTAATAAAACCTGACTCTATTTCCTGGCCAAAGCTGACTGGCATCTGAACCAATTAGTTCTTGCCCTGGAATCTGGAAGTGGAATCAAGAAAAAGTGGTCAGTCTCTTCCCTTGAGGCTCCACTTGAGGGCATGAAAACTTGGGAGCCCTTGGCAGTCACATTTTGTCATGCCATCTGAGAACAGAAAAAGCCAGTCAGCAGTGACAGTGAAATATGAAACATGAGTACATACAGAAGTAGAGGCAAGGTGTTAAGACAGGGTCCTGAATTTGTTCTGTCCCCGCTTCCAGTTTACAGGCACACTGCAGTCTTTTCCTGGGGTTCTGTAATCTAACGAAGTATCCTCAAAATAAATCCCCCTCATACTAGTTTGAGCTGGGCTTCTGCAATTTGCAACCCAAAGAGACCTAAGACAGGTTGTTCATGTTCTGCTACCAGACCTCTCCTCTTAAGAGCTCTTTTGAGTCCTGGGGGTACAGAGAGGACACAGCATCCAGTGTGGCTCACAGAACCAAAAGATGGCATTAATCTTAAGATGCCCGCCAGTGTCATTAAAATAAGCTATGGATCTTTCCAGCCAAGTCCATAAACTCTTTTCCAATCCATAACCAAATGAATCCACAACACAAAACAAAGGCTCAGGGTCATCACCTTCTTTGAACGCTGATTTCTGATTCAATCACATAGTATATACTACCTTATACTACAGTTACTTGTATCTTTATCTTTCCAAGTAGGTGGTAAATCTTGAGAGTCAAATCTTCCTTTCCTCACACTAAGAAGGCTATTTCCACATATTCAGTACTCAAGAAATATTTGCAGACTAATTGAAATACGAAGTTTTGGAAGAAAGTCCAGTTGGTGTCGGAAAGCAGCTCTCAGAAGAGGGAGCGCCACTGGACAGCTCCAAGAAGCGCGGTGAAGGGGTTGAAACCCTGGCCCTGGCCCAGGGAACCGAGAGCAATGAGTAATTGAGGTGCTTTCCGGGAAAGATGGACCAGCGGGATTCAGCAGAGTCAGTTCAATCCTGATGTACGGAGCCCCTAGCACGGGTGAGCAGGGCAAGGACCGCCTCGGGAGGAAGTGCGCCATTCTACACGGCAGATACGCACTGCGGAGCGCGGCCGAGCGCACCCCAGTGCACATCTCACACTGCGGGGCCGGGCTACCCACATCTCACTTCACCTCGACCCATGTCATCACCCTGAGTCGCGTCGGGCCTGCAGCTGGAGCCTCCTCCCCTTGTCCGCTGCAGGTCGGATCAAGGTCAGCGTGGAAGCAGCGGCCAACGATAGTTCCAAACACCCTATTTCGGTTCCACCCTCACGTCACTGTTCCTCGCAGCCCAACTTCCTTCCCAGCCCTTCCTTCCACACCTTCCTCTCGGCACCACCGCTCCCACCACACCCAACCCCTGGCCCTCACCTTGGGCGCCAACCGGCTCCCGGCGGCCCCACTAGCCGCGAGGACCATAGGGCGCCTGCGCGAAGTGCCCTCGGAAAACTACGATTCCCAGAAGGCCTCTCGGGGCTAGTGGAAACTCGAGGCCCGCCTGTTTTCGGAGGCTCCGCCCCCTAAGGTACTGGCGAGGTAGTCGTGCACGTCATTCAAAAGGCGACATTTGTAGTAAAAATGAAGGGGACCTGATGAATGAAGAACCTGTTTCCTGGCCCTGTTCGCCTGCCCCAGGTGGACCCCTACCGCGGATGCTTCTATTTTCAGAAACAACTTTCTATCCTCCAGGAGAATATTTGCAACCTCTATTCAACTCAGGCACCTACTACTTCATCTCCCTCACTTTCCGAGTGTCGGTGGAGGGGAGATAGCGTGAGAGAGAATTCCCGTATTTGCCTGTAATCAGACATACAAATTCTCCTTTCTTCATGTTCATTCTACTGTCCTCTCCAATTAGAACAATAAAGAGAGATACATCTGGGCTTTGCAATTATATTAGTTAATAAAGTCCCTTTAGGCTTAAGTAAGTTGAAGAAGTTGAAGCATTTTCTGTCTGCTGTACCTGAAGGCATCCTTTTACCTGTTCACATTTCTTTTTTTTTTTTTAATCTTTTATTTATTTCTGAGAGAGAGAGAGAAAGAGAGACAGCGTGAGCAGGAGAGGGTCAGAGAGAGAGGGAGACACAGACTCTGAAACAGGCTCCAGGCTCTGAGCTGTCAGCACAGAGCCGACGCGGGGGCTCGAAACCACGAACCGTGAGATCATGAACCGACTGAGCCACCCAGGCGCCCCCGCCCTACTCATTCCTTAACCAAATTCATTGCAATATGGCTGTGGCGCCACCATCCAAGTTATCGGCAAATGTTGGGGGTGGGGGGGGGAATTGGGTAATGCTTTGGTTTTCTTGACCACCTGGCAACTCTGAATACTTTTTGACTACTCCCTTTCTTCAAAGACTTTCCTGTGACCCTGCTCTCACCTAGTGCCCCTCTTACCTCCCTGGTCTCTTCTATTCACTCTCCTTTTATGGACTCTTCCTCTTTTTATGCCTGTATCTCAGTGTTCTTCAAGGACCTATACTAGATTCTAGTCTCTTCCTACACTACACCTCCAAAAGCTATTTCCCACCACTCATATGGTTTCAGGTATCATACATATATCTGAGATCACTCTTTTCAGCTTCAGTTTGCCTGCAGAACATTGCCACATATGTCTGGATATTTCACAAACATCTCAAGTTCAATATATTTATTTTTTTTTACATTTTTTTAATGTTTTATTTATTTCTAGGAGAGAGAGAGAGACAGCGTGAGCAGGGGAGGGTCAGAGAGAGAGAGGGAGTCACAGACTGAAACAGGCTCCAGGCTCTGAGCTGGCAGTCAGCACAGAGCCCGACGCGGGGCTCGAACCCACGAACCGCGAGATCATGACCTAAGCGAAAGTCGGACGCTTAACCGACTAAGCCACCCAGGCGCCCCTCAAGTTCAATATATTTAAATGAGCTCACTCTCTACCCTTATACCAAACACCTTGGGTGCACTACCTCATAGTCTCTTGGCCCCAATTTTACCCCAGCCATGCTGCAGCAGCCACATTTGCACCAACATAATCAGATAACCCCTTGCCTCAGTCGTAATCCATTTTTTTCACTTTCCTCCCTGGAGTTAGTCTCTGACTCTGCCACAGGGGATGACTACAGCAAGCCTTGATGTCCATGCGGCAACACTTAACCAATGATGGATGGGAACCAGTAGATAAATGCTCCTCACTTCAAGGGCAGATAATTTTGAGGTTCATTCAACACGACTCCCCAGGTCCCAGTGGGACTGAACCTTAGTTGCCCGCAGCAGTGACCAACTTGATTACATACTGTTTATTGGCCTTTTCTCCTCTTTTTAATAGATACTGTCATTAGTGTAATGACTAACATCAGTATTTTAATTATTTAAACCCTGCTCTATCAGATTATGGTTTGATGCAAAAAAAAAAAAAAAATCAGTGGCAAGACAATAAAAGCAAATTGCTAGTGTGTAAAGTGAAGTTAAGTTTACACTGCTATTAGAGGATCAATTTAATGGGTATAGAAAAGAATGCGTTAACTAGATCAATGGCTACATATCAGTCAAGAGGCAACTGACAGCCACCTTCCTGTATAGAACTACGGTGAAGCACAGAACTAGCTACAGTTGCCTCCACCTCATTAGCTTTTTTGTAATATCAGAGATAGTTAACTTCTAGGATCTAGCTCTTTGACCAGACAAATGAAGGAATAAGAAAGGAAACAGTGGGACAAATCACTCCCAGATCCTCCAACTTTATCATCATGGCTGTAATGTTCCTCACTGTTTTATACTGACAGGTTTGGAGTGGTGGCCGAGCTCCAGCAGTTCCGCTGGGCACATCCATTGCCAGCACCCATTCATGCTTTGCCCGTTCTAATAGAATATCCTCCCTCCCTCCAGAATCCTAATAAATGGATTCTAACATCCTGCTCAGAAAGAGGTGAAATGATCACACAAGGTATCTTTTTATCTTTCACAACTGGCAGCCTTAGATGTTTCCTCCTCCATATTCTGATTGGGTCCTTAGAGGTTCGTAAGTAACATCTCTTCCCAACCTGAGATAACAAAAGATCCAACTCAGAGCAAAGGAGGCAGGTACACAAAGATCAAAGCAGCTGTTTTGAGATCTGTTTTTAAAAATGTGTCTGAGGGATAGTAATAACAGGCTTCCCAGGCTTGGACCTCACCCAGATGCTTGACCTACCAGAAGCAAAAGACTTCCTTCTGCAGGTGCGGAGTGCTTATCACATGCCCAGAAGCAAGCATCCCTCAAACATCTCCAATGACTGAACTAATCCCTGGGGCGCCTGGGTGGCTCAGTCAGTTAAGTGTCCAACTTTGGCTCAGGTCATGATCTTATGGTTCATGGGTTCGAGCCCTGCATCAGACACTGTCCTGACAGCTCACAGCCAGGAGTCTGCCTCAGATTCTGTCTTCTCCTCTGTCTGCCCCTCCCCTGCTTGCACTCTGTCTCTCTCTCTCTCAAAAATAAACAAACATTAAAAAATTTTTTAAATGTTCTAAAATATTTTCCAGCTTTCTCTTTCATGATAACTGTAGAGGCAACATGTTCTAAATGACGAGGATGGAGTAAGAGACTGACTCACATCAGATTTTATGCAAGAAATCAATCTTTACTTGGGGGGTTACTGATTATGGCACTATAGCAGAGCATTCTCCTGTTCCGTAGTGAAGAGAGAAGAATTCAAATTGGGAAATGACGACTGCAGTAATGGGAGCCTGAGATGAGAAAGGTGTAGGCTAGACTGAAAATTCGGAGAAAGGATATGAATCCAAGGATATGTTTTACATAGAGAGAACTGGGTAAGCAGAAAAGTCACTAATTCAGATAAATATTTATTGAGCACCTATTATGTGCAAGGCACTGTGTGAGATACAAAGACACGTAAGTCACGCCTCCAAGTGTTTACAATCTAGTTGAGGAGATATTACATGTACATAAATAATGAAAAAAACTGTATCGCAAAATGGTTAAGAGAACAGACTTTGAAGGTAGGCTTGTATCCAAGACTTGGCTTCACCTTTTACTAGCTGTGTCACCTTGGGAAAATTATTTAACACCTCTAAATTTCAGTTTGTTCATCTGTAAAACGAGGATAGTAACAGTACCTACTTCTACTTCATAGGGTCGGTGAGAGGACCAAATAATCTACTCTTTGCCAAACTCTCCACTGAGTGCTTACCCCATAATAAGCGCTCAATAAGTTTTAGCTAGTAGTAGTAGTAGTAGTAGTAGTAGTAGTAGTAGTAGTAGTGGTAGCAGTAGTGGGACAGTGGCAGTGGCAGCAGCAGAAGGGACCTAAAAGCTAGGAGACAAAGAACAAGATCGATGCCCAAAAGAGCTCCCAGGGGAAAGGGACCCAGCTATAAAAAGAACTGCTCTGGAAACAACAGTGCTGCTCTGATATAATTTTGCCATCCCTCCCGTTCTGGCCTCCAGTTATTAAAGTGCAGTGATACCTGGCGCCCCAGACAAGAGGCGTGCCTGAGGGTCATCTCCTAACATGTATCCTATTGTCTGATAAACTTCGGCAAAATGTCGACTCTTTAGTCACATCCTCATTTCCAGCATCCCACCTCAGTTCCATAACACAGCAGGTAGTGAATGTTTATTCACACTGTGGTAGCAGAGATGGGAAAGGAGCGTAGCAGCCAGAATGTGTAGAGTGCTCCGATGGTGGATTTACCTACTGTGGGAAAGACCAGTCTTGAGTTTCTAGGAGGGTCCTCTGACTGAAGCTTTCACCCCTCAGTCGATTCCTTGTCTGGCATAACGCCGTTGATGTTGAATGACTGACGATTTAGAACTGAACACCTTCCCACACACACTGCATTCGAAGGGTTTCTCTCCTGTGTGCACTCTCTGATGTCGCGTAAGCCGGCATCTCTGGCTAAAGGCTTTCCCACATTCGGTGCATTCGTAGGGCTTGTCTCCAGTGTGAATCTTCTGATGCTGAGTGAGGGATGAGCGGTCAAAGAAAGCTTTCCCACACTCGCTGCACTGATAGCGAGGCTCTCCGGTGTGCGCCTTCTGATGTCTGTTCAGTGATGAGACGCCATAGAAGGCTTTCCCACACTCGTTACATTCATAAGGCTTCCGGCCGGTGTGGATGAGCTGATGTCGAGTCAGAATACTTTTCTGGCTGAAGGCTTTCCCACACTGAGTACATTCATAAGGACTTTCTCCAGTATGAATTCTCTGGTGTCGAGTAAGGGACGAGCGGTCAAAGAAGGCCTTTCCACACTCGCTGCATTTAAAGGGCTTCTCTCCAGTATGAATTCGCTGATGGACAGTTAGCGACGACCTGTCGAAAAAGGCCTTCCCACATGCGTTGCATTCGTAGGGGCTCTCCCCCGTGTGAGACATCAGATGTCTGCTGAGGCTGCTTCTGTGACTGAAGGCTTTCCCGCACTCGGGACAGTCATAGGGCTTTTCTCCAGTGTGAGTCCTCTGGTGGCGGATAAGGGATGAGTGGTCAAAAAAGGTCTTCCCACAGTTGCTGCATTCCTGGTCTCTCTCTTTAGTGAGAATTTTCTTGAGAGAGGTAGACCCTTGCTGCAAATTTTCCTTCTGTGAAAGGGACTTCTTGCAGATCTGTACTGTGGGGCTTTTCTTCTCTGTTGCTAACTCACCCTCCAGGGCATGTGCTTCAAATTTAGGACACAGAGGAACTTTTCTTCCAAGCCCTTCCCTCACTGTTCCTTTTGATTCTTCCTCTTCCAATGCACCTTGAGTCCCAGGCTTGGTCTCCCGGTCTGGAATGGACAGAAAACACAGCTGCAGTTTGTCTCCTGCATCATCAGAAATACTACATCAGAAAGAAGAGACACCACCATAAATCTGAAAAGTAGTGTATGGTGACTGCCTCATTCGCTCGCACAGATAGGTGTCCACGCTGGGGAAAGACTGAGACTTGAGAAGGGAGAAGAAGGCAGGGAATAGAAGTGACAGTGGACATCTCAGAAAAGAGAAGACTTTCCACTGGGAGCACGGCCAGGATAACGAGGAGAGTATGCTGAGTGGAGGGGGCAGTGGGGAATAGGAATATCGAAGTGTGAGTGGGCAATGTGACAGATCTGAGAGAACGACATTTGATGAATAAAGATGAGTAACACTTTAAGGTGCACAGAAAAAAACCAAAGCTGGTGGGTGATAAAGAATAAACACTAAAGCAGAGGATTTGAATGTGAGAAAAATGTGATACCCAACCCTCCCTCCCCAACACCCAAAAAACAACCACAAAACAAGCCCAAACTCTGCCCAGCCCTGTCCATACACAATTACCTAGAGAGACCTTCTCTGGACATTCTCTCTCCTCAGATCCATGAAGATCAACTATCCAAGGCTCATCCCCTCTCTTCAACTGAAAAATGACATCAGGTCGAGGAACCGGAAGTCCTACTCATGGAAAAAGAAACAGGCCAGACACATGATGAAAATATGCCACTATCCCAAAGAGTAATCCCAGCCTCTAAGCGTTTCTGAGAGAAAATGCGAAAGGCAGAGGGCGCATCCTAGGAATGCAGGGTGCAAAGTACTGCAAAAGAATGCAGGAAGCTCAGAAAGGAGGTTCTAAAAGGGAATGAGCAGATGAGGCGCCTGGGTGGCTCAATCAATTAGCGTCTGACTTCAGCCAAGGTCATGATCTCATTGCTTGTGAGTTCGAGCCCTGAATTGGGCTCTGTGCTGTCAGCGCGGTGCCTGCTTCATTTCCTGTCTCCCTTTCTCTCTGCCCCTTCCCAGCTCATGCTTTCTGTCTCAAAAATAAATAAAAACATCAAAAAAATTATTTTAAATAAAAAGGAACAGGGGCACCTGGGTGGCTCAGTTGGTTAAGTGTCTGACTTCAGCTCAGGTCATAATCTCACCATTTGTGAGTTCGAGTCCCACACCAGGCTCTGTGCTGACAGCTCAGAGCCTGGAGCCTGCTTCGGATTCTGTGTTTCCCTTTCTCTCTGCCCCTCCTGCTTGTGCTCTGCGTCTCTCTCAAAAATAAATAAACATTAAAAAAATAAAAAATAAATAAAATAAAAGGGACACTTGGTCAAAAAGTTGATAAAGTGCATTTGAATTATGTGTTTAATTCTCCCCACTGAAGTGAATGGGATGTCCCAGTTTTAGCACTGGTAGGATGAGGGGCAAAGAGCCCTTGGCTCAGGGAAGATGAGAATGAAAACAGATCAGCTTGAGTAAAAACGTATAATTCTGTTTGTTTACCCTTTAGTACTAAGCTCTTAGTTAAACAAGTGGGTCATGCTCATTGTAGGAAAATTAGGCATAAGTTGAAGTAAAAAGAAAATTCACCGTTTGTACTTTGTATTCATTTTGAAACTGAAAGATACCTATAGATACATTCTGTTAAAAACTGGGTTATAAAACAATCCTTATTTATAAACTTGATTTTTTTCACGTAATAATAAACTTAAATATTATTTTCCTTCAATTAACACCTTACCACTCTAATGGCTACACGAGGGTACACTGGATGGAATAATCTAATTTCTTTAATCTCCTGCTGACATTCAGACTGTTTTTAATGTTTTGCTACTAACAAACACTGATATGATGAACATCTTTGTACACCAGGGGCTGCTAATCCCATTATTTCCTGGGACAAATTTCTATAAGTGAATCTATCCATTTTTGGTTATTTAAAGAAATACAACCCATCCTAAAAATAGTCTCGAAGTCTAAACTTCTGTTGCATTGGGATCCCCAAGTTGGAAAAGAGAAACACTTTCTTTTTTTTTTTTTTTTTTTTTTTTAAAGAAATTTTTTTTTTTTAATATTTTTTATTTATTTCTAGGAGAGAGAGAGAGAGAGAGATGGCGCGAGCAGGGGAGGGTCAGAGGGTGTGGGAGTCACAGACTGAAACAGGCTCCAGGCTCTGAGCTGGCAGTCAGCACAGAGCCCGACGCGGGGCTCGAACCCACGAACCGTGAGATCATGACTCAGGAGAGCGTACGTCGGTACACCGGCCAAACCACCCAGGCGCCCCTGAAGTTATTTTCAAGAGTTATAAATTTAACTACACAGTAATCTAAAATTCTTCTTTGACAAAAATTAGAAAACGTCAAAAGATAAAT